GGAATGCTGAATCCAGTTTTGGGCCCACAGAACAAGAAAGACATGGACATACTGGAGTGAGTCCAGGGCAAGACAACTAAGATTATTAAAGGACGGAAGTACTTTTGTGGTAAGGAGAGGCCCGCTGTATCCATACAAAATGTTTTACCTTCAAGTATTGCAAGATTTTACCTTCATGGTATTGCTTACTCTATAATTCATATTAATATAATTTCAAGTATCTTGGCCCTGTATTTGCAAACCTGCCTCTTTATACTATTCTTGTCATATTACTTACTACTGTTCTGCGCTGGCAGTCTAACCCTCCACTCTGTTCATCTTTGAGCGGCTCTGTGCTTCACTTAGGTAGGGAAGAATGTCTATTCTCTGCATACTCAGATTCTGTTTGAATACCTTGCACAGCTGTGATGATTAGATACAGCTGTCAGAGCAAGAAAAAAGTGACATAGCACCACATATTTACTAGCTGTAGGTATGTTCCTTATTTTACTACTGAAATAGACTATTGGCTGTTTCTTGGAAAGCAGCTGCACCTCTTATCTTTGTTTGTGTTTGTGTTTAACAGTGTGGACACTACCAGCAGTATCTCTTCGTGACCCCGTCTAATTAAATTATCATGGCAGCAAATCAGCTTGATAAACTGAAAGCAGTGTGTCTTGCCATGGTACTGGAGATCTTGTAGCAGAAGACACGTTTGTCAATATACATGTGAAGTAAGGGTGGGTCACTACAAACCCTCCTGCCTTGCAGGTGACTTGGTGCACCCAAGGAGCCTCTCTCATGAAAAACTGCCTTACTTCTGGGGATGGGAACTACATATTTTTAAAGACTGTCTTCTCTCACATGTTATAGAAATAAACATGTCTCCAGTTTGATTGTCTGAAAAGGAGATTTGCTCTTTGGTCTTCCTAGGTAGTCAGAGTGGGCAGATGGCTTATCTAAGCTGCTACTGTCAATGCGAGTTATAGACCCTGGCTTGGCTTTAAATCCAACCCCATCCAAACAAGGTGACAGCTGCAGCATGACTCTGTGGTGCAGACGGGCTTGAATGGCAGTGACATGTACAAATATTTTCTTTGTGGGCTTTAGTCTCCATAAACCCATTTAGTAGAACTGTTAATTTTAGCTGCAAGTGCCCAAGTCAGTGTATGTGCAGTGACCTTTAAAAATCTGCTTTGAGGGAACTTCCAGATTGATCTAATGTGCAGGGATGTTGTGGAGTGGACTGATGCTTGTAGCTTTGTAGCTTTATGTGCCTCTCAAACCAGCTCCTTTTGGCTTTTGTACCTTGCAAAGGAGTGGCAATCTGACCCCAAGTAGGCACCATCTTTCTGATACAGTAGTCTAGTTATAAAATACTAGATTCTCATAAGTGAAAAGCTGGGAGTTTTTTCTAAATTATGTCTATAGGTTGAAAATTGCTAGTCATCAGCAGTCTGAGGAAACCTCTTAGCTGGTTTCAATGGAACTGGACCAAGTCCTAGTCACTGTGTGCTCTCACCTTCAGCTTGCTGCCAACTGTGGGCTCTTGTGCAGGGAGCTTCTAGTTAGAGAGGGTTCCTGAGAAGTGATTCATGTCCAGATGTCAGCTGTGCAATGCCTTTCTCATTTGCATACTTACAGAGTGTTGTAAGAACTTGCATTTCAATTTTTTTTCCTCTAAAAACATCTGTTCTACTTAATATTTAATTTCTTAAATCAAAAACATTGTGAAAGAGTCAGAGAAATCCCACTATCCTGTTGCAATGACTTTCTTAATGTTGGAAGTGCAGAATTGTGAACCCATATTTTCATAAATTCTCAAAAACATTTTTTATACTACTTCTGAACCAAATCTCAGTATATATAGAAACTGGAATTATATTTTGTAATTTTTTAAAGAATTGAGAGAAGCAGAACAATCCTGACACTCCTTTGGTTTTTTTTTTGCCTTTTTATATTTCTATAAGGGTTTATTCTGTAATATTTCTGTAATAAACTCTTCTCCTCAGTGTGACAGACATATCAACAAACCACTATGGATGAATAACAAAGGGTACGCTACTCTTATGTTTTGTTCTACTGTCTAAGGGGTAACACCTGCCTTTGGAAAAGGAGGTATCTTGACTTCTTATACAGGGTAAAAAAGCAGAAAAGAAATAATAGCTTTGTTAGTGCAAGAACACTTCATAGTGCATCTGAATAATAGATAACATAAAAATGTTTGAATTCATCATCAGAACAGATCTAATGGCTCACTGTATTTTCCTTTTCACCTAAAGCAGTAACATTCACTTACTCATTCTGATAGAACACAGAAAATAATTTTCTTGGGCCATTTGAAAAATTGCTATTCTGCTTATATTTCATATTCCTTAATCCCCATTCTGCTATTTTTAGACAAGCAAGTAACTGGATTTGCTTTTCATTTTAAATCACAATGTCCTACTTGTGTTTGTGCCACAAGAAATCCCCCAAAGGGCTAAGAGGCAGTGGTAATGCAAAAAAAAAAAAAGGAAATAACTAGACAGTCATCCAACATTCACTAGTCATAGTTAAAGGGAAGTATTGCAATATTCCTTTATTACATATAAGGAAAGAAGAGTGATGAAAATGAATGTGGGAGTATCTTTTTAGAAGAACTTGTGGAACAAAGTCAGCAAGTTTCTGTGAGAGCGTGGCATACCCTTCATGATGACATTTCATTTTTATCGTCTCCTGTTGTGATTTATGGGCTTGCTTACTGCTACCGTTTTTAATTCTTTAGCTTTCCCATGGCAGCTGGAGATTATTTAAAATAAATAACCTTGCTGTTTTTCTGTGAGAGTCTAAATACAGGAAAGTCTAGCCTCCTGCCATACCATATTCTGAGTTTTCATAGGAAAAACTAGGCACATGTTTTATTTGACTAAATGTGGTGAAGGGAGCTCTCTGCCATACTACAGGAATTTACTTGTCCTTTTTTCCTCTAGCAAATTATATTGATGGGGGAAAAAGTGTAACTGAGCATGTGATTTATCTCTCCCATTAAATTAACATGGGAAACAACTGTCTTTCAGAGTTAAATTTTTCTCTGAATTTGGCCTCCTTCTGAAATATGTCTTAACCTTTGTGTGGGACTGTAACATAAACCTGGATGGCATTACCTCTAATATTTCATTAAAGATACACACAGACTTATAGGCAACATGTAAACGGAATTAAACAAGTACTTCTTGTAGCAACTGCACCAGCCTGAGGGTTGCCAGTGTCACTTTCTCCTTTTTTACAGAAATATTTTCCCCTCCCTCTCTGCTATGCCAATAACCTACATGCATGGCCAGCAAGTCAAAGGAGGTGATTGTCCCTCTCTCTCCTCATGTGGGACCCCACCTGGAGTACTGCACACTGTTCCAATGCCCTCAGTGTAAGAAAGACGTGGAACTGTTGGAGCAAGACCAGAGGAGGTTATGATGTTGGTAAGAGGACTGGAGCACCACCCCTAAACTAACAGACTGAGGAAGCTGGGTGTGTTCATTGTGGAGAAGAAAAGGTTGTGCAACCTCCCACTGTCTGAAGGGTACTACAGGGAAACTGGAGAGGGAGTCAGTGTCAGGAACTGTAGTGTCAGTGTGAGGGGTAATGGGTATAAACTGGAACAGGTAACATATTAGGAAGACATTATTTAGTCTACTGGCAGGGAGACACTTGAACAGGCTGCCCAGGGAGGTAGTGCATGTCCTAAACCTGGCAGTGTTGAAGCCAGGTTGGATAAGGCCTGGAACAATCTGCTCTAGTGGAAGATGTCCTTGCCCAAGGCAGCAGTGGCTGGGACTAGATGATATCTTAGTCCATTCTAATCCCTTAACATTCTACAATTGTATGATTCTATCTGTTAACATTCTACAATTGTATGATTCTATCTGTGTTGTAAGACAGATACAGGAACATTATGAAAGTAACTGTCAAAAAAAATGAATCAGAAATCACTGCCCTTCCAATGAATATTTTGTCAACACATGATCAATAGAACAAATGCTTCCTGAAGTTACATTGACCTCATTAATGTGTATAAATATCTAAAGTCAGGGGTGTCAAGAGCATGGAGCCAGGCTCTTCTTGGTGGTGCCAGCTGCTAGGACACAAGACAACTGCCAAAAACTGATGCACAGTAAATTCCACTTGAACATGAGAAAGAGCTTTACTGTGTGTTTGACTGAGCATTGGAACAGATTGTCCAGAGATGGTGTGAAGTCCCCCTCACTGGAGATATTCACGAACCATATAAACACAATCCTGTGCCAAATGCTTTGGGACAACCCTGCTTAAGCAAGGAAGTTGAACCAGGTGACACACTGTGGTCCCTACCAACACCTTCTGTGCTTCTGTGACTTAAGCTTCCTGTGTCAGACACAAAGAACGTCTGACGCAGGGAACAATGATTTCTTTTTCTCACACAACCGATATTTTGGATGTATTCTGAGGAGTCGAATTTGTCTCTAAATTGCTGATGGTCCCAGCGGAGTGCCTGTGCTTTGGCAGGCTGGCAGAGGCGTCCCCGGTCCAGCCACAGCCCGAGGGAGAGGATCCCGATGGAGTGAACCTAGAGGGAGTGGACCCACAGGGAGCGGATCCCGCAGGAGCAGATCCCGATGGAGCGGATCCTGCGGGAGCACACCCAGGGGGAGCGGATCCCGATGGAGCCGATCCCGCGGGAGCGGATCCCGATGGAGCGGACCCCAATGGAGCCGATCCCGATGGAGGGGATCCCGCGGGAGCGGAGCCCGATGGAGCAGAGCCCGCAGGAGTGGATCCCGATGGAGCCGATCCCGCAGGAGCGGATCCCGATGGAGCGGACCCCAATGGAGCGGAGCCCGCAGGAGCGGATCCCGATGGAGCGGACCCCGATGGAGTGGAGCCCGCAGGAGCGGATCCCGAAGGAGCCGATCCCTCAGGAGTGGATCCCGCGGGAGCGGATCCCGCGGGAGCGGACCCCAATAGAGCGGACCCCGCGGGAGCCGATCCCGTGGGAGCGGATCCCGATGGAGCGGATCCCGATGGAGCGGATCCCGCGGGAGCGGACCCCGATGGAGCGGAGCCCGCAGGAGCGGATCCCGATGGGGCAGAGCCCGCAGGAGCGGATCCCTCGGGGGTGGATCCCGATGGAGCCGATCCCGCGGGAGCCGATCCAGTGGGAGCGGATCCCAATGGAGCCGATCCCGTGGGAGCGGAGCCCGCAGGAGCGGATCCCGATGGAGCGGATCCCGATGGAGCGGAGCCCGCAGGAGCGGATCCCGATAGAGCGGATCCCGATGGAGCGGATCCCGAAGGAGCGGATCCCGAAGGAGCGGATCCCGATAGAGCGGACCCCGATGGAGCGGAGCCCGCAGGAGCGGATCCCGATGGAGCGGACCCCGATGGAGCGGATCCCGATGGAGCGGACCCCGATGGAGCGGATCCCGATGGAGCGGACCCCGATGGAGCCGATCCCTCAGGAGCCGATCCCGCGGGAGCGGACCCCGATGGAGCGGACCCCGATGGAGCGGATCCCTCGGGGGTAGATCCCTCAGGAGCCGATCCCGCGGGAGCGGATCCCGATGGAGCGGATCCCGATGGAGCCGATCCCGCGGGAGCGGATCCCGATGGAGCGGAGCCCGCAGGAGCGGATCCCGAAGGAGCCGATCCCGATGGAGCCGATCCCGATGGACCGGACCCCGATGGAGCCGATCCCGATGGAGCCGATCCCGCGGGAGCGGATCCCGATGGAGCGGATCCCGGCGGACCGGACCCCGCCGGTACCTCCCGGCTGTCCGGGCACCGCGGCCGCGCCGCGCCCCGCCCGCTCGCTCCTCTCTGGGCGTTGATTGCCTCGCGTTCCGCAGGCCCCACCACAGCCGTTCGCTGATTGGGCGAGGCGGGCTGTGCTCGGCGCTCATTGGCGCAGGCTGGGCGGCCCCGCCCCTTCCGCGCTGCCGCCCGGCGTAGGCGCGGTGCGGAGCCGCAACCGCCTGCCCACCTTCACCCATGGCGGACATGGAGCTCTTCGGTGCCCAGCAGCCGCAGCAGCCGCCCGCCGGCAACGGGATGCCCGACAGTAGCGAGGAGGATCCCGCCGCCGCTTTCCTGGCGCAGCAGGAGAACGAGATCGCGGGCATCGAGAACGACGAGGGCTACGACATCCTGGAGAACGGCGAGGTGCCCGAGGCGCTGCAGGGTCCCGAGGGCCTCGGCGCGGGTACGCCCTGCGGGGGCGGCGGGCGGGGTGGGGCTGAGGGGTCCCGGGTCTCCTGTACCCTCGGGGCTGGGGCTGAGGGGTCCCGGCTCCCCCTGACCCTCGGGGCTGAGGGGTCCCGGCTGCCCCTGACCCTCGGGGCGGGGCGGGGGCGGTGCCGGCCCCGGCGGGACCCTGCCCCGAGCGGGCCCCGCTGCCCGGGGGTGGTCCTGGGGTGGGTCAGAGCCATCCTGGGTACGCGGTGCCACCAGGGGAGCGCCCTCCCTGCTCCCTCGGGTACGGCTGGTGTGCCCTGAAGATGCCTGAGGAGTGCCCGTGTCCTAATGCGAGCGGCGCTGATCTCGGCTAATCCAGGAGCCTGTCTGAAGGAAGGCTTCTGGAAGCTGGATAAATCCGCCACTTGAGTTTCTGTCTTCGGCGGGGGTGATCTTAGTCTTTAAGCATAAGAGCAGTTAAGCTAATGTTTAATTTTACTAAACCTTTAGCCTTTGTTCCTTGGTAACCTTTGTACTGAATGTAGCAAACCCGACACTGCAGAACCCGCGTTTGGGGAAGGGTGGGAACTGTGTGTTGAGGAGTGTGGGTTGTAGCCTGATGGTGGCTAAAGTAGTTCAAAATAAGCACTTCTCCTTATGAAAGGTTTTAACTAAAGCCCGAGTGGAAAGGGGTTGATGTTACAACACTCTCAGAAGACTTTTCTGCTACTTGTCACCAGAGCCACAGGGACATATTTGCTCTCATGTGACATCCGTTTGTCTGCAGTAGGATGCCACTCTCCTTCTGACTAAGTTGAACTGCTCCCCAGTTCACTGTCAAAATATCTTTAGAATTAAGTCTTCATTCTGCAACCTGGTTTCAGAAATTACTGGTGTATCTTATGTATGAGGGGGCAGGTTTGTAGTATCTCAGTGAATAAAACTCATCTAGATAAACTGGGTAATGGAGACCTTCTGGTGCTTATTTAGAGGTAGCACTGCCCTTAACATCAGCTCACTCATAAAGTCCAAAACATATGGATCACATACTCCTGAAAAAACGGTATTTACTGGAGACTATTTTGCCCAGCACAAGAACTTGAGGATAATTGTTATCAGAACACCATCCTGTTTTGGTATCATACATAATTTGACTTCCGTATTCTATGTATAGTGCAGAAACAGCCACAATGGTCACTTCCCTTCTTACTTTCAGAAGGCTTAGACTGATATCTTGCCTTAAATGGGCTTTATGTTCCAAACAGACTCTGGAACATTAAAGTGGCTGTTTGAAAACTAATTTTGTTGGGAAAAAAATCTATCACTGACTTTTCCCACAATGTACTAGAACAACTAGAAGAGTATATTCTCTACATACATGGAGTGCTGACTATTGCAAAGTGTTTTCTTGTTAAAATGTTGATTTGTTCAATGCTTCTAGATTGGCTTGATATTTAAAAATAGTTCTTAAACTGTCTTTCAAGCTTTTTTTCTCAAGTCATGTAAGTTGACTTGTCATGAAGTGAAAAAGGGTTATTGGAGAACTTTAGGAAGAAGTAAGCAGGAACTGTATGTCATTTTGCTTTCTTTTATACACTGGGATTGCATTTATGTTCTGGCCTGTTAAATAGGTGTGGTAGATGATGCTTGTGGACTTTTAGTGGTCCTGTTTTTTAACAAGAAAAACCAAAACATAACAAAAATTGATCTTTATTGACTGTCAGAGCCTGTACACTCTCTCTGCATGTTGAAAAGCACAGACTTCAGCCATGCAAAATGTACTGGTTCAGGCATGGTGACAAATAATCTAATGACTTTTGTTCCATTTATGTTAGACATTTCTTATCATCTGATCAGTACCTTAATAAATATCAGACAGTTGTAGTCTCTGGCATATTAGCTCATTAAACTCTTCTGTAATTGAATAGGTGAATGCAAATTTCGTCTTGAAACAATGCAAGTTCTTATGTAAATCCTTAAGCATCATGACCGGGGATTTGTGGATTTACTTTTTTTAACCGTAACCTTTTTTGAACTCCTTATTTACAGGTCTGTTGGAAAGTTCTTTCTAAATACTGGGAAAAAAAGTAATGACTTGGGCAGCTCCCAACTGAAGTTTGAAGATCTTAAGTTCAGATATAGTGACCAGCAGTCAGCAGCTTCTTGAAATACACTTTTGAGAATTATAGTGTTTCATCAACAGCCTTTCCATTTCAGTCTCTTGGTAAATGATTAGACAAATATATGGACAGAAGTGAGCTTCATGAATTGAAAATATCAGTTTTGGGAATTCTGCTAATTGTTGTAATGGTGGATACTGGGTGAGTATGGGGGAATGGTGGAACGTTGCCAGGCTTGTGCCTCTCACACAGCATAATTTCATGTTGCCATGATCAGGGTGGCAATACTGATCCAGGCCTGATCCAGTAGGCCATTCATTATGTAAACAGCTATGTCATTCAAGCTGCCTGAGCTTGCAAAAACCTAATCTTATTTCCCTTGGAAGGTGAATAATGCCTGCTTCAGAAGGCAGAGAGTACTGCATAAATCAAGTAATACAATGCTGTTGCCTAGGTATGGGTAAACGTGATGTCTTATGACATTTCTTTTTCAGTGATGAATCAATGTCCATGTATTTGCAGTGGGATTCTGACAATAGGATGTCTTGAAGTTGTATTGGTTCACTTACTGTGTTCTCTGAGCAAGAAAGTGTTCAAGGGGAAATGTGTGGTTTCTAGATCCTCTAAGCCAATACAAATCATCATGGCAGTTTGTCGAGCAGCTTCTTGTGGGGCATTTCATTCAAAGGCAAGCAGTTATGTATGTTAACAAGTGTGCAATTACACAAGTTTAATACAGGCTGACTAGTCTCAAACATTGCTTTCACATTTTCACGCTCTGTAAGTTTTATATGAACTTAATTATATGACTGATGAACTTTATATGGCTGAACTATGTTTCTCTGTCTTCAAAAGATGTTCATGAGCCTCTAGCAATTAAGAAAATGAATTGTGTCTGGTGGTTTGTCTAGGTATTTCATTTAATAGCCTTTCAGGAACTGAGTCAGGAACTGAGTATAAATTTGCTTCAAAATAGTTTAGGAAAGAATTGATTCCTCCCGTCTCTGTAGTTAGCACCACAGACAGAAAGAGTTCTTGTCTGTGACAATTGATTTTTTTTCTTAATTGGTTGAACACCTATTGATCTGAGTTTTGCTATGCAATCAACATCTGAGGCTTCAGAGCCCCATAAGACAGCACTGAGAAAAGCATGATAGAGGAATGATATCTGTCTAGCTTGTGTTAGTGATTCTGTATTATTATGAAGTCAGGACAGAAAAATCTGTATTTTTTTCTTTTCAAGAGAATACTAGTGGAAATGTACAGAAGGTGGAAATTCCAGAAGCTGTTATATTGGAAAATTATAGAACCTGTTGCAGCACAGTGTTATTGCAGGTGTGTTTTAATTCTAGCCTATTGATTATATTGAAAATGAGGGAACTAATGGATTTTGATAGGACAGCAGATTAAACTAAAACACTGGAAAGAAGCACTCTTCCTGAGCTGCTTGCCTTTATTTTACACACAGGCACGAGAATGAGTTTTGGCTAGAAAAATTGTTTCTTCTTTAGGTTCTTGCATAACTATGTAAACAAAAGTTTTGTGAAAGATTCTTTCTTATCATGTTATGGGTTAGAGGTAGGTAGAAGGAAAACATGACTGTGCCTGAAAGAAAAAGGATGGTAAACTAGGCCTTGAGTGGTGAAGTTACTTAACTTTATGTCAGAATATATGAAACTTTATGTTCTTCTGTCGCTTTAGCTAGAGCTGTTAGCACATTGAATGTAGCTGTACTTAGAGTACTTATTACTTAAAAGAGATGCTGAAGGTAACTCATAAAAAATACTTCTACTTTAAAAGAATATCAGAAAAATGTTTCAGTGTACTGCAAACTCCTGCCTCTGACATTTGAGATCAGAGTCGTCTTTTGCATTGAGAGTAAGACTTTAGAGAGGCTGGTGAACAAGGCTAAGCTAACTTCTTTTTAGTCCAGCTGGTACTGAATGGTAATAATGACAGAAGCAGCCTTCAGAATAGGTGATCATTATTGTGATAAAGCTCTGAGGCCATATATTCACTTCTAGGACTTCTAGGAAGTGAAAAAATGGGTTTTGTATTTATCTTCCAACTACCCAGCCTTTTCTTTTGTAAGCTGTAGTAAATGTGGAGGGCATTAATGCGAGCTTTCTATTTCTGGCAAGCTTGGGTGTTGTATCTCCTGTGAATGCGAGGCAGCTGATATGACTTATCCTCTCCAGACTCTCCCAGACTCTAAAAAGTGTCTGTGTTGCTGT